CAGGCCGCGCAGTGAATGTACTTTCATTCTTGTCTTCAAGTTCTGGTCAGGAATTCTCTGAATACTTGCCCTTTGGAAAGAGCCTCATTGTTTCATTAAACTCTTCCTCTGGGCTGAACCAAAGTGTGCCCCACTCCCTCAAGAACATGACTACAATATCTCCCTCCCCCTTCGGACGGGGCTTGCACCCACCCAGGAAACCAACCCTCCCAGGCAGTGACTCTGGGGAGATGCTGAGGCACTACAACAACAAGTGCCTAGCATGGGCCTGATTCCTCCATCGCAGGACACAAGGCATTCCCAGTGATTTCCATGGAGCTATTCATCCTGAAGCAGAACAGGGCTCTACATATAAGGGGGTGATGAGGGGACAGAGGGAGATTGAGTCCCTGTGAGAAGCCACCTAGTCAGCTTTTAAAATCCAAGTGTCACCCCCAAACAGAAATGAAGCCAGACTGCAGAATGATAAGACTCTTGAGGTGTGACTCTACCATTGCACTTTGCTGGATAAAACCTGGAAAATCTACTCATGCATACATATAAGTTTTTCTCCATCATCTAAATACAGAGGGATGCCCCCTTCGTTCACTTGGCAGAGGCCTGCCTTTCTGGGGTGGAGTGACTCCAGTTGGTCCAGGGCTGTCTGCGAGTCCAGAGCCACGTATAATTAAAGACCAATGTGCTGGACTGTAGTACCTCCTGGCTAGATTGACTACACTTATTCCCCTGGATGAATATTTAAAGGATGCACATACACAGAGACATGCTAGCAAGAGAATCATCACAATGGCTTTTGCCATGGGATTATCACGGTTCCAAACTGTGCTCTAACTAGGACAGTTCTTAGGGGACTCAAACAGCACAGGAGGCTGAATATTTGAAAGTCAGGAGCAGCTCGTGACTGCAAATCCAGAGAGATTACAGAAACAGCTCATTTGGCTGGTGGACAGCAAACACACATTGCTGATCTCCGTGAACAAGACAGGAATTGAAGCACAACAATCCATCTGTTGAAAGGCTCCCCACCCCAGCCCATCTGCAGCTCTCCTGATGACCAGGGATGAGACAAAGGCAATATTAGCACATCTCAGCTTTGCCAACACAGACAAACCAGTTTTATATATTTAAAAGGAAAATTAGATCATTCAAGGGGCTGAAATTTGTACTCTGAGGCTCCCCTACTCACCTTCACTATGAGGTCACATGACCAGACATGGCCCAGAACAATGAGGACCAACATTCATATTTGGATTGTAAGCCAAAAATGGACGGCTACCACCTCTCCCTTTGGACTCAGTAATCTTAGACCTTATCAGACTCAATCACTAACCATCATGAGCATGTGACATGATTACGAAAGCCTGTATGTTTTTTAAAACCATGTGTATTTTTAATTACATACACATGCTTTATGTGAACATATGTACATGCTTATTACACAAATAAAGCCAGATATGTGGAGGTGACATCTGTATGATAAATGAACTTATGTTCCTATGACTGCCTCAACTGGTTTCTACACCAGTCGATTGCTCCAGGGACATATTCTAGCATTCCAGGATGGGCAAGATTCAGTCATAAGCTACTGACAGCTTTTATTGACAGGAAAGGACATACTTTAAATTCAATATTTCATGTTTCCACAAAGCTAGCAAAAGGAGCTTTGTACAATTAGAAAGCGGAGTTTCCCAGGATTCCCAATTCCCCCCAGAACCCTGCACTTGCTTCCAGCCCTGGAGGAGCCTGAGATAATAGACTTTAAAGTTGTGACAGGGAGGGAGCAGGAAGCCAAGGGCTCGAAATGGGGGCCCATGAACCTGGACAGCACAAGATTCAGGTCCCAAGGGGGAACCAGGTCCCGGACATGCGAGTAATGGCACTCCGGAACTTTCAGGAACCGTGCCATCAACGGATGGGCAAAGACCGATCTGCCTTAGAACAGAGGGTGGAATGCCGAAATGGCCGCCAGGTGTACCTTGACCAAAGATTGCGACAGGCCTTGGAGCTTAAGATGCAGCAAATAGTCCAGGATGCCTTGCAGTGGGGCCTCTTCTGCATGAATGTGATGATCCAAGGCCCAACACATGAACCACTTCCACTTTGCCATGTAAGTGGCCTTGGTGGAGGGTTTCCTGCTACCCAGCAGAACCTGCTGGACACCTGTGGAACACTGCCGTTTGTCCCCCCTCAGCCACACAGTAGCCAGGCTGTCAAATGTATCTGAACCTGGTGGCACTGCAGCAGATTGCCGTGGATCTGGACAGCACATCCAGTCAAAGAGGCAGCTGTAGCGGGGTGGCTGCCGAAAGACTCAGCAGCATGTCGAACCATTGTTGATGAGGCCATGCTGGGGCTATGAGGATGATTGTTGCTTTGTCTTGCTTTACCTTGAGCAGGACCCTATGGATTAACGGCACCAGCGAGATGGCATACATCAGTGCTCCCGACCATGAAATCAGGGAGGCATCCGACAGCAAGCCCTTGTCCCTGGCCTGTGAGAACACAACATGTGGCACTTTCTGTTCTGCCGGGATGCAAACAGGTCCACCTGGGGAGTTCTCTACCTGCGGAAGATCAGGCTGACCAGCTCCGGATGGAGCGACCATTCGTGGCGAGACGAGAAGGTCCTGCTGAGGCGATCTGCCAGGATGTTCTTGGTTCTGGGCAGGTGGGTGGCTACCAGATGAACGGCATGCCACACACAAAAGTCCCAGAGGCCCAGGACTTCCTGACAAAGGGCTGAAGACCTGGTGCTGACCTGCCTGTTGATGTAATACATTGCAGTGGTATTGTCTGTGAGGACTTGCACTACCTTATGTTTCAGGTGGGGCAAAAAGACCTGGCAGGCCAGGCGAACTGCTTTGAGCTTGCTGATGTTAATATGAAGGATGAGATCATTGCGGAGCCAGCAGCCCTGGGTGTTGAGCTCACCCAGATGGGCTCCCCAGCCCAGATCCGACACGTCTGAGACCAAGGTCTGCGATGGAGATGGGATCACGAAGGGGACTCCCTGCAGCACCGACCTGGGATCCCGCCACCAATCCAGAGACAGGAGGATGTGGTTCGGCACAGTGACCACTCGGTCCGAGGGGTGCCTGCTGGGGGTGTAGACCGAGGCTAGCCACACTTGCAGAGGCCACAGATGAAGATGGGCATAGTGCACACGGCCATGTAGCCCATCAGTAGGAGGCACATGTGGGCCATGGTGAGCAGGTGGCTCTTTATGTGTGAGATTAAGCTCGACATGGCTTTAAAACATGCTTCCGCAAGGAAGGCCCTGGCCCGCGTGGAGTCAAGGACCACTCCGATGAACCCTATGCATTGGACTTGCATGAATGTGGAATTTTCTTTGTTTATTAACAGGCCCAGGTCGCTACAGGTGGACCGCACCAGATCTAGGCTCCTGCGCACCTGCCCCAGAGACCTGCCCTTGATAAGCCAGTCATTGAGATTCATGAAGATCTGGACTCCCTGATGTCTCAGGTAAGCTGCTACCAGCACCACGCATTTGTGAAAACCCTGGGGGCTGAAGACTCATAGTGGCGAGCCAAAGACCTGGGCCAATGCAGAGACCAAGAACATGGTGGCCTCAGGCTCTGTCTTGGCTCTGGAGACCGGTGGCGCTCACTTGTCTTGTGCGAGGCCTTGCCAATGGGCTTGCCCTCTTGGGGAGCTATAGCAGGATCCACAGCCCTGCATGGTGCCATCTGCAGCGGGGGCGCTCTCTGCTCTCCCGGTGCCAGGAGCTGGGGAGAGTGTCGACTGTGCCGTCGGACTGGGCCCTTTACTGCTCCCCAAGGTCAGTAGGTGGGTCCTTTCAGGAGGAGGAACTCCCCGGGGCCGAGCCCTTCTGCAGGTCCAGAGTTGGCATAAGGCCCGAACAGGGTCCTTTGCCTGGAGCCCCCTGGTCGGGCTTTCTCTGTGCCATCTTCTTAGGTTTCTCCTTCGGCACCAGCAACAGGAATCGGTGCCGGGAGGAACCTGGTGCCGGAGGTGTGCTCCACACTGAAGTAGAAGCACTAGGTGCTGCATCGGGCCGCTCCAGTTCCGAAGCTTGGTGCAGGGCAGTCTGCATCAGGAGGGCCCTGAGACATATGTCGTGCTCCCTCTGAGTCAAAGACGAAAGATTTTACAGATGCGACAGCGCTCCTTTATGTGGGATTCCACGAGACAGCTTAGAAAACTATCGTGTGGGTCACTAACATGCATAGGCCTGTTACGTGGAGCACAGCTTAAAACCTGAGTACCAGGGCATGCCCCACCTGGGGCAACATCCGCTGGGACACTATCTAACAAACACTTAACAGCTACAGTACTTAACAACTAACAGACAAGGGTTGTTTACAGCTAGAAATACAAGGCTGAGATAGAAGAAAAACCGCTGGCCAATTGCAAAGCAAGGGACAAAGGCCCTCCGACTGACCACCACGGGCGGTAAGAAGGAACTGAGAGAGTGTAGGTCTGGCAGCGCCTGATATACTGCGACATGAACACAGCACCCCAGAAAGCACCACAGCCCACCATACGGATACCGCTAAGGCAAAAGTCTCTGACATCTGCGCACGTGGGCGCGCACACACCTAGAATGGAATCAATGTGAGCAAGCAATCAAAGAAGAACAACTTTATCTACAGACAGCCAATTCCACCTGTCAGAGTCTGACTATATGTGCCTGGAAACTCACTCACCACAACTATTGTATCTTCCAACAGAAAGCAGAACCTACGTTCAGAAATGTACTCCCAAGAGCACACAGAGATCCAATACTCTCATGTGTTCTCATTTGGCATGAAGCACTAGGACAAGCCTCTGTAGGATGAAGCCCTGCTTCTGTTATCTCCCCCATGTAACATTCACCTGAAAGGAACGAACTGGTTTATATCATGTCAGAGGGAAGCTGCATAACAACTTGCTATTGCTCTCAGCAATCTGACCGAGAACTCACCATGTGTCAGCAGGGGAAGAGAGAGAATACTGAAGGAATGAAGGCCCTAACTCACCCTTCCACAAGGTCCGTACTTCCCTGCTCCTCAGGGTCTGGATTCACAGAAACTGGAACCAGGTTCTTGCAGACAGAAATATCATGGGCCATGACGCAGATCCAAGCTTCACCATAGCTAGACACACTTCACCACTGCAAAGGAAAGAGAAGGAAACCGCCCCCATTAGCAAGAAAAAGTCAGCATGTGCTGGTCTTCAGCATGTGGCCAAGATACTAGCAGCATCAAGAACTTCCAATTGATACACCCTTACATGTCTCTTCTTGAAATGCCAATGTAGCACTCAGACCTTAACTACTGGGGACCTGAATGGGCAGAACCCATGCAACAAAACAGGAAGAAACAGGACCAAGAATATTGGGAATATTTATCCAAACCTACCACCCCACAATAAATGCTCCCTTCTCTATTTCCACATAAAGCAAGGAGCAGCCCATGCTCTGATGCTTAGCAGCTTCAAGTTTGCATACATGGGTACGCTACTGTAAAGCTATATACAATCCTTCACACTAGGTGTTTGCTTGGTACCAGAGGAGAATATGCAGAGATAGCACTGGATACAACTCAGACAGAGACAAACACCTACAAGATCTTTATCAAGCATTCGTAAAACTACAATACCCACCTGGGGAAGTGAGGAAACAGATTGACAGAGCAAGACGGGTACCCAGAAATCACCTACTACAGGACAGGCCC